AGAGAGGGAGAGGGAGGGGGAGAGGGAGGGGGAGGGGGAGAGGCGGAGCAGGAGGGCGGAGCGCTGGGAGGCAGGGAGGGAGGGTGGGGTAGGGGTGTGGGCAGGGGGCGGGGGAGAAGCCACTGGTGACAATTACGTCTGGGTCCAAGCAAACATGAGGCAGCTGCCAGCCGGGCCGCGCAGTCCTGGTTGCCTGGGCTGGGGAGCGGGGCGGCCAGCAGCAGTTCCCGCCAGCACCCGGGATGCAGCGGGACAAGGTAGGCGCTGGCCAGCTAGGGCTCGCCTGGGATGTGGAGGGGATGTGGAGGGGACGTGGGGCTTCTGGGGACTGCTCGGACCCGGGATCCTCTTAGAGGTCCCTTCTATGACCCCATCCTCTGCTGTCCCCTTTAAGGTAGATTTGGGGAAAGTGAATGTTGGGGTGTCCAGGAGGGGACGAGGACTCCTGGGGCACACTGTGGGTGGAAGAGGCACTAGGTGACGTTGAGACAAGGGCTGGAGGGCAGCCCCGTGGCTGGTCCTGCCCAGTTAGGTCCCGGGGACAGGGGTCAGGCGGCTGGGAGCTGGCTTCCACTGCCCTGAGGGTGAGGGGAGGCAGGACACAGCAGGGGTGTCTGGTGCTTGGAGGAGGGCCAATGAGTGCATCTCCCGGTTAACTGCTCAGTAGCTAACGAGTGCCCTCTTCTACAGAGGACCCAGAGCAGCTGTCCCCTCTGGTGGGGCTGCTGGGAGGTTGGAGAGGAGGTGAGGGAAACACCTGAGACAGGGGTCAAGAAATAAAGGTAGAGGAGGGCAAGGAGGAAGAATTAACTGTGGGCAAGAAAAGTGAGCCAGCGCCCAGCCCAGAGTTAACCCTCAGAAAATGCCGTCCAGTGCCCTGCAGCTGCTCACAGGTGTGGAATAGTTTTGCTCTGAAGGAAAGAAGAAGCACCAGAATTAGGTCTGGCTGCTCAGATCACCCCCAAATAACAGTGGTTAGAAAAAGGTTGATTGCAATTTTTCTCATGCAGATGTCGAGAGGGAGGTGATACAGGGCTGACACAGACCGCCCCCCCCACCCGTCAGCAGGCACCCAGGCTCCATCTGTCTCCCTGCCCAACATGGCTGCTGGCGCTCCAGCCAGCACATGCAGGTAGAAGTAAGGATAAAGAAGGAAGGACAAAAGGACCCAAATAAAATCAAGGTCTTGTGAGTAAGAAAGAATAAATACTGGGCTGGCCTCTCTTAATCTCGCCTCCCAAGAGAGGGCTTCCTGCCTTTCTCACCCATGAGGACAAGCAGCCCAGAGAGGGCTGGAGGCTGGCTTCAGATCACACTGTCCCAAAGCCCCGGCCCTGTCTAGTCTGTTTCTCAGGGACACCAGGAGGATCAGCAGAGGTGATGACATGAAGCTTTTGAGCATGGTGACAATGAATGTTGAAAAGTTGCTTTCTCTCCTGTCACCTCAAGTGTCCCCAGTATCTGCCAGGAGGGCAGAGCAGACACGGAGAAACCTCATGCTTTACCGAGGCTCCCTGTCCACCCATGCTGTGGGTAGCCCAGGTCATGTGACCCGGGGGTTGGCGTGAATGCTGACCTGAGTGTGTACGACAGCCTCACCAGCACACGCTCCTGCAGCCCCAGGACAGAGTCCCCACGAGATCATGCGATGCAGTGTCCACAGGCAGGGACTCCTACCATCCAGCGGCACCCAGATGTGCATTCCAGCTCCGCCCACCAGCAGAGGAGGGTCCCCCTCCCCTTCCCTCCACTGCTGGAGGTCACCCCTGGAGCTTGGCCACCACTGTCCCTGCTACATGGGCAGAGTGAGTGCCCTGAGTCCTGCAGGGGCATCTGGCCCTTCTCCTGGCCATTGTGGCCCCCTCCCCCGCCCTACACCCGCCCCACAACCAGCTCCTGGGTCCCTGTGGGTCTCACTGTCCTTCTGCCCACAAGAGGCCTTCCTGTGTTGGCCTGGCCAGGGACAGGAGTGGACCCCACGCCCCTGGGTGCTGGGCCAGGCAGGGGCACTAGTTCCTGGGGAAGCCACCACTGGAGATTGGGAACTACACCTTCCTCTCCAGGGGCGGCGGGGTCTGCTCTCAGCATAGGCTGGGGATTGGCTCCTCTCGCCAGCCGCTGCCCCCAGCCCTGCCCTGCCCTGCTCCCCACTCTCCCCAGTTGCCCGTTCACGAACCCTGGCTCAGCCTCGGGGGTGGGCACTGCCGCTCCCAGCCCACAGACACTGAGGCCCAGAGGGGGGACCATATGTCGCAGCACCAGGTCCCCATGAGCAGGAACTCCACCAGCTCTTAGGAGAAGGCACAGAGCCTGGGCTGGGCTCATCGTGGTGGGCACGGGCGCCGTCCTGGGCTCTGGGGGACTGTGTCCTGGAGGCTCAGCTCAGCCTGGGAACCTCTCCTGCCTGGCTCCAGCCTTTTTGCAGGAACTTGTGCAAAATGGGTCCTAAATTGCTCCCCGGTTCCCAAAGCCACTGAGAGCGCAGGTCAGGAAGTGGCCCTGCTGTCCAGGTGGAGACGGGGAGAAGGCCAGGGTCGGGGGGCAGGAGCCCTGAAGTCCCCCCTCCCTTGAGCTCCTGTTTTACAGATGAGGAAGAGAGGCCCGTGCTGCTTGCAAGCGCTGTTGTCGCTGGGATTTGAACCCCGCTCTGCCTCATTCTAAGGCTTGGGTCCCGGGGCTCCGGCTCCAGGGGAAGACCTCAGGGGGCCAGGGCATGCCCCTACCCAGGTGACTGGGAAGCCGCCCGCTCCCAGTCCTGGGGCCTGGCTCCTGCCTCCCCTTTCCGGGCTGAGGATCCAGGAGTGTGATGGAAAGGATCCTGGGGTTTCGACTCCACCGCCCCTTTCTCTCCAAAACCTTCCACGAGAGTGGACAGCCGCCTTTCTGACTCAGGGGCTGAGGCTGGGGCCCTGCTCCCACGGACCACTGCCAGGCTTCTCTGGGTGTTCCAGAAATGGCCTCTTCAAGGGGGAAGGACACCCCTGCCTTCCAAAGCAGAGAAAGAGGGGACCAGAGAGGCTGGGCACAGCCCCTTTCCTGGTGGCCCAGCCCCCGGGCAGGAGGGAGGGCACCTGACTCACTGTGGTGCCCACCCCCGCCCCAGCAGGCTGATGTTCCCTAGAACAGGTGCGTCTGTCAGCTGTGCTCAGCCCACGTCCTGGAGCCCACAGAGCCACGTGTCAGGGAGGAGCCGAGGGGACCCACAGGTGCCAGCTTGGTGGGGGGGACAGAGCTGAGCTGAGATAGGAGGACATCAGAAGGGGCCCTGTCCCTCCCCTCAGTTGGCTCTGTCTCCCCTCTCGGATCTGCGGCCTCAGCTCTCTGCCCAGCTGTCCCCTCTGCCAGAGGGGACGAGGCACTGCTGGCCTCCGCTGGCCTTGTCTCCAGCTCTGCCTGTCACCCCTGCCTCCAGCAATGGGCAGTGGGTGGCCTCCAGAGTAGATCCAAGTCCCTCTGCCACTGACGGCACACTCCACACCCAGCTCTGTTGGACGGGCACTCAGGGCAGCCAGATGCTAGCCAAGACTCTGCCCCCGTTTCTCTGGACTCAGTCCTGCCCCCTACACCCTTTAGCTGTGTGTCCACAGACAAGTTGCTCAGCTTCTCTGTGCCAAGTGCTTTTTATTTTCCTGAGGAGATATCACCCACCTGGATGAATGAGATCATCTGCCAGCTTGCTCAGCTGAGGGCTGCGGAGAGGTGGGGTGTTGACGCCATTGCTTTCTGGTTGCTGGGTACCGCCTGGGAAGGTACCGCCTGGGAAGGCCAGCCAGCCCCACAGGTCAACTCTGGGTCAATGCGATGCCCCCTTCTCAGGGTGAGGGAGCCTGTGCCTTGGAGAAGTTGGCAGCCGTCAGTCTCCGGCCAGGACGGCAGGTCTTGCCTCTTCTGCTCCAGCGCTCTGAGAGGACCGAGGCCAGGGGCGTGCAGCGCGTGGGTGGGTGTGCAAATGTGCCTGTGGCTGTGGGGACCGCGGCCGTCTCAGCCCCCTGCTGACAAGACGAGCCACCTGGCCCACATCTGTCTGTGCCCAGGGTGGGTGACGAGCTCGGGCTCCCAAAGCCTCCCCATCTCAAACCTGGGGGCCCGCACGACACAACGCCCACCACTGCTTCCCGCCATCTGTCCCGAATGATGGAAATAGAGCCAACCACAGTGGGCGCCGGGCGAGACGGCAGCGCCGCCACAGCCCCTGAGGACAGGGAGACAGGTGGGCAGGCCCGGGTCCCAGCCTGGGGCAGCACCCCGGGAGGAAATGGGTTGAGAACTTGGACCTCCTTACCCGATGGGCAGGACTAGGATTTTCTGGGTGTAGGATAAGCACTGGAAACCTTAGCTGCACTTCCAAATAGGACGAAGAGCTTTATAGAGAAGCCCAGGCCCCCCTGAATCTAACCACGAAGCCCCCGAAGGGGTGGAAATCTCCCAGCAGATCCCAGCAAGCACCTGCTGAGGGCAGCAAGTCTGTTACTGGCCATGCACTTGACCTCTCCCCCTTGTCTTGGGCAGTGGCCTGATGCAGGACCAGAGGGTGGAGACGAGTGGTGGTCTCCCTCTGGGGCTCTGTGTTCACGCCTCTCCTAACCACTCACAAACCAGCCAGGGTGTACCAGGGAGGCACTGAGCCGTCGGACTCTTTGTCCAGGCAACCCAGCTGGGTTGTGAGGGTCCCAGGTTCAAGGCCCCCTGAGGTCAGCCCTCCAGTCTGACTGACCACAGACCTCTCCCCTCTGCGCTCAGTGGTCTGACACTATGCCAACTGGCCTGAAGCCCACCCCCAGCCAGGTTAATTAGGTGGAACCCAGTGTAAACACTGTCTTTTCAACAGGTAATCTCTATAAATATTATTAATAAGCTATTTTTGCTTCCGGTACACAAATATTTGAAACCCAGTGTGTGTTTACACAGACTATCACATCTCAGTTTGGACTAGGTCCACGCCACCTGTTCAATAATCCTATGTGGCTGTGGCCACTGTGTGGGGTAGCTCAGACTTTCAGGGGTCACTGCTAGGCCAGGCTCAGCTGGGATGAGAAACACAAGCTTCTTAGCCTGTCTGTCCTCCCCTGTTATGGTCCATTTTCACTTACTATTACAAAATACGTCAGGCAGGCTGCCTTTTTAAGAAAAGAGGTTCATTTAGCTCACAGTTTTGGAGCTGGAAGTCAGAGAAGCATGGTGCAGGCTCTGACGAGGGTCCCTGAGGCTGCATCACACCATGGTGGGAGTACATGTGTGTCTCTGAGTCTGGGGTCTC